GGTTCAAGCGATTCTCTGCCTCAGCCTCCCGAGTAGCTGGGATTACAGGTGCCCGCCACCAAGCCCAGCTAATTTTTGTATTTTTTTTTTTTAGTAGAGATGGGGTTTCACCATCTTGGCCAGGCTGGTCTTGAACTCCTGACCTTGTGATCCACCCACCTTGGCCTCCCAAAGTGCTGGGATTATAGTCATGAGCCACCGCGCCTGGCCGATTTCTCAGGTTTTTGCATTTTAAGTTTGAATTACAAGAACTCTTAAGTTGTCATCTAATTTGAATTAGGGAGCTTTTTTTGGTTTGTTTTTTGTTTTTTTCGAGACAGTTTTGCTCTTGTCACCCAGGCTGGAGTGCAATCTGGGCTCACTGCAACCTTTGCTTCCTGGTTTCAAGCAATACTCCTGCCTCAGCCTCCTGAGTAGCTGGAATTACAGGCGTGTGCCACCACGCCTGGCCAATTTTTTTGTACTATTAATAGAGACAGAGTTTCACCATGTTGGCCAGGCTGGTCTTGAACTCCTTACCTCAGGTGATCCACCTGCTTCAACCTCCCCAAATTCTGGGATTATAGGCTTGAGCACTGCACCCAGCCAAGTTTGTTTTTTTTCAATTGAATGTAATTTCAATTGAAAGTATGAATTATGAAATTATGAATAAAATAAAAATGTTAACTCTATCTCAACTGAAAATATACAAAAAAAACCAAATCAGCCAGGTGTGGTTGCACACGCCTGTAATCCCAGCTCCTCAGGAGGCTGAGGCAGGAGAATTGCTTAAACCCACGAGATGGAGGTTGCAGTGAGCCAAGATTGTGCCACTGCACTCCAACCTGGGCAACAGAGCAAGACTCTCTGTCAAAAAAGAAAAAAAAAATGGCTAGGCGTGATGGCTCATGCCTGTAATCTCAGCACTTTAGGAGGCCAAAGCAGGTGGATCACCTGAGGTCGGGAGTTCGAGACCAGCCTGACCAACACGGAGAAACCCCGTTTCTACTAATAATACAAAATTATCTGGACGTGGTGGCACATGCCTGTAATCCTAGCTACTTGGAAGGCTGAGGCAGGAGAATCGCTTGAACCCGGGAGGCGGAGGTTGCAGTGAGGTGAGATTGCGCCATTGCACTCCAGCCTGGGCAACAAGAGCGAAACTGTGTCTCAAAAAAAAAGATTTGTTACTCAACCTACAGGGGGGAAATTTAGCAGTTTTTTTGTTTGTTTGTTTGTTTGAGACAGAGTCTCACTCTGTTGCCCAGACTGGAGTGCAGTCGCCCAGGCTGGAGTGCAGTGGCGTGATCTCGGCTCACTGCAAGCTCCGCCTCCCAGGTTCACACCATTCTCCTGCCTCCGCCTCCCAAGTAAATGGGACTACAGGTGCCCGCCGCCACGCCCAGCTAATTTTTTATATTTTTTAGTAGAGACAGGGTTTCACTGTGTTAGCCAGGATGGTCTTGATCTCCTGACCTCATGATCCGCCTGCCTCAGCCTCCCAAAGCGCTAGGATTACAGGCGTGAGCCATCGCATCTGACCAGTTTAGCAGTTTTGATGTAATTTTTCTAAATTAACCCAAAGATGTTAAGAACAGCCCACTTTGAAACACCAAACGTATATGGATATCAAGGCCAATCTTAGTATTGAATAGAATAAAGAGAGTCATAAACTAGTAAAACAATTACAGTTCACAGTGGAAACATACCAGTCATAGATGTTTATGAGCCCAAAGAAAATTCTTGACTGGGGCGTTGTGAGGGGATATTAAAAACACAAGAAAGAGGACAGGTGCAGTAGTTCAGGCCTGTAATCCCAGCACGTTGGGAGGCTGAGGTGGGGTGAATCATTTGAGATCAGGAATTTGAGACCAGCCTGGTAAATACGGCGAAACCTGTCTCTACTAACAATACAAAGGATTAGCCAGGCATGGTGGCAGGCACCTGGAATCACAGCTACTTGGGAGGCTGAGGCATGAGAATAGCTTGAGACCAGGAGGTGGAGCCGAGATCGCACCACTGCATGCTAGCCTGGGCAACAGAGTGAGACTCCATCTCAAAAAAAAAAACAAAAAAAGACCAAAAAAACACAATAAAGAAATTGAGGTAAGCTCATAGAATTAGATTAGTTAACAATTATCTCAGTTCAAACATATTAAACAGATCAAAATAAATAATGATTTAACAACTATCTCAGTTCCAGACATATTAAATAGATGAAAATAAATACTGATTTGTACGTCCCTAATATATCAGAGTGATTTATAAAATAATACTCGATGGAATTAAATTTTTATCCCTTCTGCCATGGTGAAAAATAATATTGTATTTAAAAATAAAATCAAATTTTATCCTTTTTCAGGGGATGAGCTATATTTAGAAGATTCAGACTTTTTGGAAAATCTTATGTCTACTGAAAAAAAGACTGAGGAAATCATGAAGGAAGGCAAGCAATTTCA